GTTAGGGCGGCTAGGAGCTGGAACCAACTTCCAAGGGAAGTGGTGCTGGCCCCTACCCTGGGGGTCTTTAAGAAGAGGCTGGATGCCTACCTGGCTGGACTCGTTTGAGTCCCGTTTCTCTTTTTGGGGTTTTTTGTTGTTCTCCCGCCCTGGCGGGGGGTCGGGCTAGAAGATCTACTAGGTCCCTTCCGACCCTTAATCTATGAAATCTATGAAATCTATGAACAATATGTACGGTGATGTGTTCTGAGTCCCATGAACCCCTGTAAATTCACAAATCTAACCACTGTAACAAGAGGAAGAATGACGTGTAATAGTCCTTATAAAAATACTTCAGTAAAAGAAGTTCAAGTTAGGACAGAATTTTCTGTAGTTGGTTTCATAGTCATTACTGTAGGTGAAACCAATGTCAGAACTCCCATTTTGTTCCCCAGTGACCAGAATTTCACTTCATACGTTTAGAGAGCAATGATGTTGGACTATTTCCTCCAGTCATCCAGAACTGACTTATCAATCACATGCCTGTTGAAGAGGAATAAGAACCAGATGAATTTAAAAGGTGTTGTTCAGTGTAGAAACTGTAAATGATTTGGTGAGCGTCCATCTTGCCTCACAGATGCATCTTTGAGGCAGACACAGGGAACAAAATGGTGTTGATGTGAGTGGATCAACCCCTCAAGACATGTGATGATCTCGTAGTCAGGGAGAGCAAGGTTGGTAATACTGAGTCCCAGCATCCGTGAGACCACCTCCCGAAAATCTGTCAACTGCAGGAGCAAAAAGAAAGAAACAAATTAAACGTGGAGCCAAGGGAAGGGCGTGAAAAAAAAATCTACATGCATGGGCAGCGATTCCATCACCACCACCACCAACCCACTCAGAAAATATTTGTGTTGAACACACACAGAGACACCTGAAGGAAGAGATAGATGAAATAATTTGGTTTTGTCCATATGCATGAAAGAACGAAGCCAATAAAGAGAGGGATAAAGGGATGTTTTAGGATTATGCAGTTTCTCTTAACAGCATGAAACATTTTTCAGTGTTCTACATATAAATACAGTTCTACACAATTAAACATTAGAGGTTTCTCAGGGGTATTTTTTGTTTTGTTTGAGGGGAGGTCAGCACATGGCTTGTTTGACTGGAAACTGGATACAAAGAACCTACCACCTCTGTGTCTAGTGGTTGAGAAGACATGACATGAAGGCTATACGGCAGCCTGTGCTTCTTTCCAAAAACGTTTCTCCAGGTCCAAATGGAGAGGCGTTCACATAAAAGGGCCCTGCCTGTGCTGACACCCCTGTTGGCAACTAAAGCAAAAAATTAAGACTAGGTGGCTATGAAAGTTGGACTACTCTTCTCAACCTTGTCACAAGCAGTTAATTCACCAAATAAAACCTAATCAATGGAACACAACTATCTCCATTTTGTCATTATTCTCCAAACAAAATGTAAAATTACCTTCTACTCACGTGTGGGTTAGTGACAAGGAACTTTCAGCATCACAATCCTATCTCTTGGTATTAAGGAATGTTAATTTCTCAAATCACTTCTGGAGGCGGTTCCGTCAGAACCTTTTTCTATTGACAGCTGCCAAGTTTTATGCAGCTTTTTGTCTTATATTTCATAGATTTCATAGACGTTAGGGCTGGAAGGGACCTCAGAAGATCATCGAGTTCAGCCCCCCCGCCCGAAGTGCAGGAAGTCAGCTGGGGTCAAAGGATCCCAGCAAGATAAGCATCCAATTTGGTCTTGAAGGTGTTCAATGTAGGTACTTGAACCACCTCTGATGGCAGGCTGTTCCAGACCTTGGGGGCTCGGACAGTAAAGAAATTCTTCCTTACGTCCAGCCTGAAACCGTCTTGCAGTAGTTTATGACCATTCGACCTCGTCATCCCTTGGGGCACTCTGGTGAACAAACGTTCCCCCAGATACTGGTGGTCACCCAGATAAACTTATAGGTGGCCATCAGATCACCCCTGAGCCTGCACTTTTCCAGGCTAAATAGCCCCATGGCTCTCAGCCTGTCGTCGTAAGGTCTGTTTTCCTGACCTCTGATCATGTGCATGGCTCTTGTCTGGACTCTAAGAAGTAACTCTAAGAAGTTCCAAGCTAGACTGAGCCCCACTGTGACAGGAAGTACAGAGTGAAAACCATGCTCATGCCCTGGATGGCTTTCAATCTTAACTCTAACAATCGGTGGGTTTGGGACAGTATTACCCAGATTAAAAAAACACTATCCAAATACCCTGGCCACTACTAAATTAGAAGCCAGAACTTTAAGGTTATCATACCACATCTAAATCTAAGCCAGTTTTCATTCTAAATTAGCTCTGCTGGTTGCAAATGAAAAGCTACAATAATGCAGCACTAGCAGGGTGACTGAAAGAGACAAGCCTAAAGACCATGGATTTCTAGTAACTGTGGCAGCATGCTAGAGCAGTATGGTATAGCAGGAGCTGATATTTCTGAATAGCTGGAGATCCCTTGCAGTGCTGTCGATTTTGAATACATAAGCCTCTTAGATAGACAAAGTCCTTTGGGTAAATCCAATATCTATTATTAGACCAACTCAAATAGCTGGAAAAATTCTTTGCAAGCTTTCGGGTATAATTACCCTTCCTCAGGCTGAAGAAGAGTCTGAAAATGCTTCCTCAGGCTGCAGAAGCATCTGCAGATGGTCTGTGCTGTTTCTGGATGGAGCAGCCAGAAGCCAGTACGTCTGCAAGAAAGCCATTCCTTCCCCCCCTCAACCCCCAACTCTCTCTCATCTACTGACTACCTCAATTTACATTTTAACTGACTGGCTTTCTTGCATATATACTGCCCTCTGGCTGCTTTACTACTTCATCCAGGAGGAGCATAGACCATCTGCAAATGCTTCCTCTGCCTGACGAAGAGTAATTGTACCCGAAAGTTTGCAAAGAAGAATTTTTCCAACTATTTGAGTTGGTCTAATAAAAGATACCAGATTTACCCAAAGAACCTTGTCTACCTATGTCCTTAGACCAACACGGCTACAACCTACACCCCTAAGCCTCTTAAATGAAGGTGAATTGTACTACTGGTATATTGATATTAGGCTTAATCTGATATTGGTAAAAAAAAAAACACAGTAGAAACAAGGGCATCATCACAGGCTATGTATGACTGCCAGGGTCCCTAAAGTCATATTTGGTTGGCTAGTCTGCCCTGAAGTCCTTGGCATCATGTCTTACTTGTGCTAGCTAAATTGAAATTAGCATGAGTAAAGTGGCCCACACTACAACCATACCTTCGTCACACTACAAGCATACCTTCATATGCTGGATAGGCAGACTCCCAAATAACAAGTTGACGGATTTCAGAAGAAATGGATGCATATTAGTGGATATACCAAAAGTTGCTCACTTTTTTTCTTTTCTTGCTTCGATGGCCACACTGAATGAACTGTTAATGTCTTAGGGCATTTATACATGTGCTCTGGGAATGGGGGGGGGGCTGCTTTAATTAGAGCAACTCCGAGAGCCACTCTAATTCAAGTGCCTAGAGCATCACATGCATCAGCATCCTTATCGAATGAGCTTTAGTAAAAACTGCCATTTTTCAGCACGGGGACACTGATACACATGATGCTGGAGTCTGCTGGACTGTGGTAATTACCACTCCTCAGCAGACTTAATTAATTGCGTCTGCTCTGATGCACTCTAATTACAGCACATTGGAGCAGCCTCCCTGCATGTGTATAGGTGCCCTAGGGATCTGGAAGTACTTACCGGCTTGTAACTAGGCCCAATGAGCCTCCAGTAAAATCTTTTTAATCACACAGTAACACACATTAGAAAGAAATAATTTTTCTTACCCTAATGTTAATAGAAAAAACAACTTTCCTTCTAATCAGGCTATGGGAAGAAAAACAGAAAAATCTGTATTTTCAATACAGAGTTGAAAGGAAGGCTAATTGTCCTGCAGAGCAAAATACCTTAAACTGACATATGAGCAACATGATTATGGGTTGTAACCATGTTTCCCAGAAGGCTCCAGTCTGAATGAAAATCTTTCTAGCAAAGTGAAAAGTTGAACAAAAGCAATGCAGGATACTTTTTTTTTTATAATGCTACAGTGCCTTGTAAAAGAACTGAATGTTCGTGGTCTACTTTGAAGTACTGCTGTACACATTTTATGAACATCTAATACAATTTCTTACTAAAACATTCACTGCAACTAGAAAAAAAATAGACGGAAAAAATCTCTTCCAATTTTGAAAACAATACAACATAGGAAAATAAAAACAAGACTGTTTGGCTGAAATATCAAAAACTTCTCACCATCTGAAGTTTTAGTTAAGGTTTTCTTCAGCAAAAGTTATTGTTTCAAAGAGATCATCCTGAGGGCACAGTTCTGAATTTTACTTCAGTTGGTAACAGTTTTCATGAAAGTAGGAAAATAACAGAGGGGACACAAGTTCTTTCTATATGCCCAAGATTTGTGATGCAGAAATAAATAGATAATTGTGCTATATTTTCTTTACACGTCAGCCAAAAGAGAAAGTTGAAAGGAGTCTCATTAGCAAAGGCACAGAAGCAGTGCCTCAAAAGATTCTTACTACAAACAGACCAAAACCATAAACAAGTACTGTGAAATTTACATTCCTATCATGCATTAATTATTGCACTTCAGTGGTCAAGCTGAATCAACGTCAAAATTTATTTGGAATTTGGAATTTACTTTGTAATTGATTGCGTGTAAAGGTCATATAATGCTGTCAATGCTTTTTGTGTATACCCTTTAATCTAATCTTATTAAGATAGGTGATATTAGATTGAATACACGTGGTATTATTCTTGAATGTGCAGCAACAACGAAATTGAATATGTTTTTCCTTTCATGGTACAAACACAAACCTCTGAGGACTACAGAAATAATTATTCTTTCTTAGAAATTTTTAACACATCCCTCACCTATACTAAGTAGAGCACTCAAATCTTTCATGAAAGTCAAAAATCTACCCAGGAAGTCTGTGCCTATTTGCTACATTTTACCAGATGAGTCAAAGTTTCTTGAATAAACATTTAAGTACCAGACAAAATGTAAAAACAACACCAGTGATATATTTGCTCTTAGGAATATGCATGCTATGCTGTTAATGCTAACCAGTAATTGTTATTACCACCTATAATCCGAGTTTTGCATATCACAGCTTTGACATTTTAATTTTATGCCATACTTTTTTTTTTTATCCTGACAGGGACAGAACTCTGGCTTATGTTTCAGTCAGTAAGCTGAGGTACAGGAAGAAGAGGAATCTAAATAACATTATCACAGCACCCTACCTACTGTACTAAATATGTTAGCCACTATGGGCGCATCCATACATGCAAGCACATGCACTTGCAGCAGCTCAAATAGAAGCAGTCCAAGTTTGAGCCAGGACTTTTTGCCTCAGCACATGTGCCCAGACATGCACTTTGGTGTGGGGCAAATTGTGCTACCTGGGGCAAAATAACCCTACCTGGCTCCTCCCAGATCTGCAACCAGGGGGAGCTAGAGACCAGGGCCAGCACCTGTGTTGTCCCCAGCAGTATAAAAAGCTGCCCTGGCAAGTAGCTCAGAGCTACTCGCTCCCAGGAGCTTCTGGGGCCCAGGCAATTCATACCTGGGGACACTACCCCTTGTGCCAGCTGGACTGTTGAAGCAGCCCTGACAGTTCCCTGCACCCTCTACCCGCTGCAGCAGTCTGGCAGTGCCCCCACTGTGCTGCCTGGCTGTGATCTGGATGGGGACT